TTTTCATCTTGATTTTATTGCTACTATCAAGTTAATATACGGCGCTTGTTCTATATTGACTCGGGAGTAAGTTTTATTAATGAACGCGTCTCGTTATTAATAACTACCCTCGATGAACTGGATATACTCCTCGATTGAGTATTCGAGAGGAAGATAGTTAAAGATATAACCGGGATCGACGAACATTTCATTAAGTGGATAAAAGCAAAGCCAAGTCTTCTTCTCATTAATTAAACCACATAACTCGTTCATCTTCGTGTTTAATTTATTAAACCAAATCAAACTAAAACCCCCCATTTTGTTACTAGTTCTATAAAAAGAAAAGTATTCCTTTCCCTGTGGATACGAACCTTACTACGCTATACTACGTATAAGTGTTGTATTGTATTATTACTTTGAGTGCACACCACGACAAAGTGCACGTCAGGTATACCATTATTCGTACCCGCCCGCCCCGTCAAATAATTTCTCCCCCAAAATCGCCTCATTAACCGTTGGTTTTTATGCTCGAATTGTACTCGTTTAGAATGAGGATGAGGGAAAGTTTTATTAAAATATAATTTTATTTTTCTAATTGAGTATCCTAAAATGGTGATCAATTACTTAATCACTGACCATCTGAAAAATAAAAATTAATTAGCACCGCAAATCAATTATTTAGAAACCCCATAAAAAGTTACCATCAATTAGGGGTGGGATGGTCCGGTCTGGGTCGGGTTTTTGGTAAACCCAGAAATTACCCGGAAGGTCTCGGGTTATGAAAATTAGGGACCGGAACAAAGCCCATTACATTCGGTCCGAGTCGGGTTTTTGGTAGCCCGGGTTCGGTCTGGGTTCGGGTTGGACCGGTTAAAACCCGAACGTGAAATATGTCATTGTTCTTTTATATTTTAACACTTATTTTCAAATAAAATTAATCAAAAATACAAACCGCAAATAATAACACAAATATTAGTCTTCAAAATCACCAACAATTCAAATTTAAAGAAGACAATTATCTTAATATTTTATGTAAGATGTACATATATAAATAATATAGGTTTCTTTAAAATATTACGAAATAAATTTTATAAATCAAAAAGTTACTAGAGTTGCTATAAATATATTCTCATGGTCATCATTACGCTGAACAAATTCAACATATTTGTAGTCACTAAAAGTTACTAAATCTTTTTTTATCCACTGTGATTATAATCATATATTAGGAAATATTTTATTTATATTCGTATACTATATTAATTTTATATTAAAACTAATTGTTTCGGGTTTTTTCGGTCTGGGCCGGGTTATAGATTTTAAGGCCCATTAATGAGCCCAGAATTTTCGGTTCGGTCCGGGTTTTTTTTAATTCGGGCCGGTTAAAAAGAAAAAACCCGGACTGGGATCATAATTCGGGTCGGTCCAGGGTCGGTTTCCGAGTTTCGGTTCGTTTTTTCCCACCCCTACCATCAATTGAACCTAATATCCACAAATTATATACGCTTATAGTCAAATTTATGAATCTCTTATCGCATCAACGTCAAAATATGAAATCTTATCCCGATATTAAAATATTGAGAAAAGGAGCAAATAAGCCCACGTACTAGCCAAAAAAGGTCAAATAAGCCCTTATTTAGGAGGTTCTGTCCGGCGGTCGCCATTTGGGGTGGTTCCCGGTAGAATTTTTTGATGAAAATTTTTTGAGCATCTTATTCATTCAGTCTAGTTTACGCATACCAAATTTCAGCTAAAACTTCAATCGGGAAGACATTCAAATGAATTCTTGAAAATAATGGTGAAGTAAAAAACGCAGTTATCTTCAAGAATTCATTTGAATGCTTTCCCGGTTGAATTGTTAGCTAAAATTTGGTATGAGCAAACTAAACTCAATGAATAAGATGCTCAAAAATTTTCATCAAAAAATTTCACCGGGAACAGCACCAAATGGCGACGGCCGGACAGAGCCTCCCAAATCTTGATATGAATTACAAAAACATTTCATTTCCAAACATTCAATAATCACAACCCACCAACATTCAACATCCAAATTTAAAAACATTAATGTATCAAGTAACATAATAAAAATGGTACTTCTGATACTAAGAGTTATGTATTCTTGCAGTTACTGTTTTAGAAATTTCTTAGTTCAAATTTAAAACTTGATATAAATTTCTTAGTTTATATCAAATTTAAAACTTGATATAAACATTAGTCTAATCATCCTGTATAGCTCCACAAGATTCTTAACAATTAGTTAAATAAAATTATAGCAATGTTTAGTAATATTTGGGCTTTAAACTCGTACGCGAGTATTATGAAAGGTGATAGGATGGGGAATGAGAGAGTCATAGTATGGAAATGTGTCGTGAAAATCATGAAAGTCAAATAATCATTATGTGAATAAAATAATACTCATCAATTATAGAAAGAAAATTTTGTAATAGATAGAAAATATTTGATGAAGAAGAAGATGATGAAAGAAGGATGATGAATGATATTGAACGTTCAAAATAAAAAATAATAAACATTGAAGCGTCAACTCATGAGAATCGCGAAGGATCGCTGAATAACCAGATATGATATCAAAGTAATAGTAATGTATATTTAATTTGGTATTAGAGGGAATGAGCGCCATACACCACTACTAGAAAAATAGTTATTTGCTGCGGTCATTTTTGACTATTTGATGCGGTTTTGAACCGCGGCAATTGCGGGAGCAGCAAAAAGTGGACAAAGTTAATTGCTGCGGTTTAGAACCGCATCAAATAGTAGTAATTTTTTTATATAAAAAAAATACACATTGCTGCGGCTAAACACAACCGCAGCAAAAGAATACTAATACACGCCCAAGAGAAAGTCTACTAACAAGATGAGAGCAACAAGATGAGAGCATTGATGATTCCATATTCAATAAGTGCCAGCTCAGCCACTGAAAGGTTATACATATCTACTATGGAGTAATAATAGACTCCGTGCTTACTATGCATAACAACAAAAGATTTTAATTACAATCTTCTCACCTTAACATTGTACGTAGTAGGATAAAACAATGAGAAATTAAAATATTAATAAAAGGTAAACTAAAATCAGTTGCACATGACCCGCTTATATTTCCTATTAATTTCTCTAATAAGTTTAGCAAAACAGGGCCAATTTAATGCAACTTCGGGAGCCTTTCCTTTCTTCTAGCTTTTCCCTCTCCAATTGTGAATGGCTTCCTATTGAAATAGAGTGGTCAACAATCAAAATCAGGGGGAAAATATACATGGCTAAAATTAGATGGTGGCATTGTCTTTAACCATAAAAGAGAACAAAAACAAAACAAAAACAAAACAAAAATTGTGTCTGGTTTAGTTCTAAACAGTTACTGGTTTAGAACTAATAGATAAGTATATTATCAAGGAATGTTAAACAAACTTACAATGAGAATAAATTAAATAGTTGGAATACATATACTACATATATTTGAAACTTGTCTTTTTGTAATTTAAAAAATCTCACTTTGTTGTAGTAAATACCCAAAATCTGTACATCTTATTTTAAAAACACCAATTTAATTTTATATATTTTTACTTAAGGATAAAAAGCATATATGGTCCTCAGACTAATATCACTATATCACCATGTCATTTATAAAAAAAAGCATATATGGTCATCTACGTACCTGATGCCTTTAACAAGAATCCAAATCCATCATATGCTCAGAAGCATCTTGCAGGTTATCACACGAACCTGCCATAGAAACCAAATCTACTTGCTAGGCTCATCAAAGGATCATCTCGGATGAAATCTACTTGTTAGGCTCATCAAAACCAAAAGCATATTTCTTCCACAAGTTTAATAAAATATATTGAATTAAATATAAAATAAAATGGACAGGGGATCATACATACCACCCCCTTCAAGACAACATCCGTTTCAGAATCTTTACTTCCAGAAACAACACCAGGGCAATCAATCAAGAAGAACATGTAGACCTGTTTTTAATGGACAAATCAAAAAAATTACTTAAACATTGTGGAACCCATGTAACAAGCTAGAACTTCATTAAAAAAACATCAGATGTGTGATGTGTCTTGTGAAAAAATATGAAATAGCAAAGAAACGCTGGACACCCTTAGCCATCCACTAGTTGCTCAAGCTGGAACTAATCACAGTGTAAGACAGTAAGAGTGAGTAAAAAATTGAAGTATTTGACATAACTTTGTACAGAACCCTTAGTTACTTGAATCAATTTTTAATAAATCAAATTTTTCCACATATAAATCAATGAACACATACCAGAGATACCACAGTTGTGAAGAAAGCAGATCAATTTTTAAGCAATCAAAATTGTAAGTTAAAGTCCACAAACTTAGAACAATAAGCTAGTAACCTACCTAAAATTAATTCGATCATAATTCCTTATCCAAAAAAGCATAGATGTGAGTTAAACCAACTAGAAAAGTTTTGAAATATATATATTAAATTAAGAACAAGTAAATTAAACTGGCAAGACAAGAAAGCCTAAATAAAGCACCAATTTCAGTTGGGGAATCAGTCAAATAAGTCTTAGAATCCGATAGAAGTACAACTTTTGCTCTTAAGAATTCCATTACTCTTTGAGGACTTTTCTCAAACACTACAATTGCAGCCTATTAATATTGGGTTACTTTAGATTGTTTACACACATATGTAGAAGAAATTACACCATGTAGGTATATGCGCCACTCACCAGATCAATTTTTTTTTACTTTTGTAATTACTTTTTGGGATTTTTAAACACATCCAATTTCGAAATCGCTAAAAAATAGAAAACATCGATGCAAAAAGAATGAATTTACGAACGAATACCATTACCTGATGGCTAAAAGAATAAAAGATGCTTGAAAACCTAAGAAAAGGCAACAAAGCTTCGTTCTGTGAGGGTGGGTACGGTGACTCTTCTGGGATTGAGGCGATCGCAACTGGTGCGAGTGACAGGAGGTCGGCGGACTACGCCGGCCGCACCTGGTGCGGCTGGGAGGGGAGGTGTACACGGCTCCCTGGTCTTGATAACTTTATAACCCTTCACACTTTCCTGATCATCAGCTGCTAAGGTTATAGCATAAAGTATAATCCTATAGTAAAAAAAATTAAATGAGCCAGATTTACTATAACAAGAACTTTACAAAGAATATCTGCCAAAAAATGGGGGGAAAAACTGTGGCTGTCACAAAATAATTGATAAAATACCGTTGAGACTTGAGATTTCATATACCTCAATTTTGTTCACGTGGCACTGCATTCTTTGGAGTAGAAAGCACCGTTAAAGATGCTCTTAGCCTCCTATCTAGATTTAAATTTTATTATTGGAAATATATCTCTGTGATTTCAGTGTATCTAGCTAATGCTTCTTGAATTAAACCGAGTGGGCTGTGGTGCAGCAGAAAATGAATCAATAGTCAATACGTAAACGAATTTTAAATTCACAAACTGATGTTAATGTGGAAATCAAAAGCTAATTATAGTAATAAATAATGAAATCTGGAGAAAAGGAAAATTCGATGCGTACGATTTTTGCTTGGACGAAAGCCCCATTTTGCTCAGGAACTCACAAAACGGACTCTCCAGATCATCCTGAGATATCCGATTGATTTCCGTGTAATCTTCCCTCATATGCCCCTGCACCATCTTGAAGAACCTCATCAACTGATTCTTCTCAGTGAAACTTAAATTGCGGTCCTTGAAAATTGCACTGCGTGAATCAGGCACGTAATCCAAGTTACCATTTCCATCATAGATGAAGCTCCCGTCCACCGACTTGAACTCCATATACAGATTGATACCCGTATTTAAAATGAGGTCAACCATAGAATCAGCACAAAATAAAACTCTAGGTCCGGCCAAATCAATGTTGAACTTGCTGGAGTAGTTCATAGGCTCGTGCGAGTACAGAGAGACATCAATGGAGGAGTACAGCTGGCGAGTAAAAAGCGGCACGAGATGGAAATCCGATTCATGGCGGTATTGTGAAGCAAGATGAGGGGTGGAGGAAGAGTTGGAATGGGATTGAATGAATGAAGTGAAGTCATGTAGGGGGAGAGAAGCGTAATGAGAACCATAGAATGGATTGGGGTCAAGGTGGATGACAGATTTTCCGGCGGCAGAGGCCGCGGCAGCAATGATGGATTCCGATACACCGGTACCTATAACGATTAGATCAAAGCTGGAAGGTTCTATATGCGGATAGGATGCGGAGTCATCCATCCCTCAAAAAGTTGCATCTTGTATAGCAAAGATCTTTTTATATCGACCCATCTCCGCGTGACTCATTAATGGCTTGTAGTGTATCAACTTCTCAAATCTGTACCTAAATCATCAAAATTCTTAGATTAGAAAATAAAACAAAGACACATAATGACATAGAATAATGTGCATGACTCACTCACCAAAATTCATGCAACAATTTACCTACTTCCGAACTCCTCAATTTCAGAGATAAGTTCATCCAACAACTACTTTGAAACATAAAAAGAGATTGTCTGGCCAAATGGTAACAGAGAAGTGCTTGGATGTTACTAATTGTTTATTCTAGTTGAGATATGTCTGTACAAATCATTCGTATATATCCAGTGGGCGTTTGTCCTTACTCAACTGCAGCCAGTTTAATGAATCATGCCTATGCCTGATGTTTTGTAATCATAATATTTAAGTATCTATCCCTCTGTCCCAAATTGAGTTGCAAATTTGACTCTTTGGGGTCAAACAGTTTCATTTTATTAACTTAATTAGGATACAATTTAATTTGGATTTTGCAACTTTATAGATATTTTAATGCAGTTTCTGAATATGTAAATTTTAATTATTAAAATTGAATTATATTTATCGATAGGGAGGATTTAACTTTACATTAGTTGACCAACAATTTGGGACAGAGGTAGTATGTTTCTACAAAACTTGATTTCTGGAACACTGAATCTATTAAACTATATTCTGCCTTGATGTTTGGCCAAATGCAAAAACTAAACTTAAAGACAGTGAACCAAGGAAACTCTTAGAAAGACTTTAATAGGTTGGAGGCTCCATGTATAAATCTTCCATTGACCGAGGAATTTTGTTACTTGTGGTATTATATATAAAACTGTAATAATCGGAACTTTCTTTCAGATTATTTACTTGTGTATGTGCAGAAGCATTTGGAGCTATCATGGGCACATTAAGGGATATTTACCAAAAAATATGAGGAGTCAACATGGGCAAACTTCAATGTGGCCATAACCCCACATTACCAAATGTGCAGATCAAGGCATGGGTGAGTGTGGGTCATTTCACATCTGGTATGAATGCAAATTAAAGTGGTCTACATGGTCTCCTTAGAATGGTCAAACACTTGCCCCTTTTCTACACTTTTTCAACTCTAACCCCCCACCCCATTATCAAATACGGAGTATCAGTTTATATTTTTTCAAAAAGTCACTGTCATGTGTGCAAAGCTTAAAAACTAATAAGGATTGTGATTTTCTGACAGGAGTCGAGGGGTGATGCAATGGTAATTTTGCCATTGTTTTTGCATCTAGTATTACTTCTGAAAGCTCTTATCAAAAATAATTTGGAAAAGGAGAAAGTGAAGGATACCGAGTGGGCTGTGGTGCAGCAGAAAATGAATCAATAGTCAATACGTAAACGAATTTTAAATTCACGAACTGATGTTAATGTGGAAATCAAAAGCTAATTATAGTAATAAATAATGAAATCTGGAGAAAAGGAAAATTCGATGCGTACGATTTTAGCTTGGACAAAAGCCCCATTTTGCTCAGGAACTCACAAAACGGACTCTGCAGATCATCCTGAGATATCCGATTGATTTCCGTGTAATCTTCCCTCATATGCCCCTGCACCATCTTGAAGTACCTCATCAACCGATTCTTCTAAGTGAAACTTAAATTGCGGTCCTTGAAAATTGCACTGCGTGAATCAGGCACGTAATCCAAGTTACCATTTCCATCATAGATGAAGCTCCCGTCCACCGACTTGAACTCCATATACAGATTGATACCCGTATTTAAAATGAGGTCAACCATAGAATCAGCACAAAATAAAACTCTAGGTCCGGCCAAATCAATGTTGAACTTGCTGGAGTCGTTCATAGGCTCCTGCGAGTACAGAGAGACATCAATGGAGGAGTACAGCTGGCGAGTACAAAGTGACACGAGATGGAAATCCAATTCATGGCGGTATTGTGAAGCAAGATGAGGGGTGGAGGAAGAGTTGGAATGGGATTGAATGAATGAAGTGAAGTCATGTAGGGGGAGAGAAGCGTAATGAGAACCATAGAATGGATTGGGGTCAAGGTGGATGACAAATTTTCCGGCGGCAGAGGCCGCGACAGCAATGATGGATTCCGATACACCGGTACCTATAACGATTAGATCAAAGCTGGAAGGTTCTATATGCGGATAGGATGCGGAGTCATCCATCCCTCAAAAAGTTGCATCTTGTATAGCAAAGATCTTTTTATATCGACGCATCTCCGCGTGACTCATTAATGGCTTGTAGTGTATCAACTTCTCAAATCTGTACCTAAATCATCAAAATTCTTAGATTAGAAAGTAAAACAAAGACACATAATGACATAGAAAAATGTGCATGACTCACTCACCAAAATTCATGTAACAATTTACCTACTTCGGAACTCCTCAATTTCAGAGATAAGTTCATCCAACAACTACTTTGAAACATAAAAAGAGATTGTCTGGCCAAATGGTAACAGAGAAGTGCTTGGATGTTACTAATTGTTTATTCTAGTTGAGATATGATTGGATGACTTAAGCTGTACAAATCATTCGTATATATCCCGTGGGCGTTTGTCCTTACCTCAACTGCAGCCAATTTAATGAATCATGCCTATGCCTGATGTTTTGTAATCATAATATTTAAGTATCTATCCCTCTGTCCCAAATTGAGTTGCAAATTTGACTCTTTGAGGTCAAACAGTTTCATTTTATTAACTTAATTAGGATACAATTTAATTTGGATTTTGCAACTTTATAGATATTTTAATGCAGTTTCTGAATATGTAAATTTTAATTATTAAAATTGAATTATATTTATCGATAGGGAGGATTTAACTTTACATTAGTTGACCAACAATTTGGGACAGAGGTAGTATGTTTCTACAAAACTTGATTTCTGGAACACTGAATCTATTAAACTATATTCTGCCTTGATGTTTGGCCAAATGCAAAAACTAAACTTAAAGACAGTGAACCAAGGAAACTCTTAGAAAGACTTTAATAGGTTGGAGGCTCCATGTATAAATCTTCCATTGACCGAGGAATTTTGTTACTTGTGGTATTATATATAAAACTGTAATAATCGGAACTTTCTTTCAGATTATTTACTTGTGTATGTGCAGAAGCATTTGGAGCTATCATGGGCACATTAAGGGATATTAACCAAAAAATATGAGGAGTCAACATGGGCAAACTTCAATGTGGCCACAATCCCACATTACCAAATGTGCAGATCAAGGCATGGGTGAGTGTGGGTCATTTCACATCTGGTATGAATGCAAATTAAAGTGGTCTACATGGTCTCCTTAGAATGGTCAAACACTTGCCTCTTTTCTACACTTTTTCAACTCTAATCCCCCACCCCATTATCAAATACGGAGTATCAGTTTATATTTTTTCAAAAAGTCACTGTCATGTGTGCAAAGCTTAAAAACTAATAAGGATTGTGATTTTCTGACAGGAGTCGAGGGGTGATGCAATGGTAATTTTGCCATTGTTTTTGCATTTAGTATTACTTCTGAAAGCTCTTATAAAAAATAATTTGGAAAAGGAGAAAGTGAAGGATACCGAGTGGGCTGTGGTGCAGCAGAAAATGAATCAATAGTCAATACCTAAACGAATTTTAAATTCACAAACTGATGTTAATGTGGAAATCAAAAGCTAATTATAGTAATAAATAATGAAATCTGGAGAAAAGGAAAATTCGATGCGTACGATTTTAGCTTGGACGAAAGCCCCATTTTGCTCAGGAACTCACAAAACGGACTCTCCAGATCATCCTGAGATATCCGATTGATTTCCGTGTAATCTTCCCTCATATGCCCCTGCACCATCTTGAAGAACCTCATCAACTGATTCTTCTCAGTGAAACTTAAATTGCGGTCCTTGAAAATTGCACTGCGTGAATCAGGCACGTAATCCAAGTTACCATTTCCATCATAGATGAAGCTCCCATCCACCGACTTGAACTCCATATACAGATTGATACCCGTATTTAAAATGAGGTCAACCATAGAATCAGCACAAAATAAAACTCTAGGTCCGGCCAAATCAATGTTGAACTTGCTGGAGTAGTTCATAGGCTCCTGCGAGTACAGAGAGACATCAATGGAGGAGTACAGCTGGCGAGTACAAAGCGGCACGAGATGGAAATCCGATTCATGAGATGAAAATTAATCCAAATCAGGTTGGCGTCTCTTTCGTTGCTAACTTGCTATACTTTTCGAAACACTTTTTTGACAGCTTGTGTGGCGGGGCAAATTTTTTTCCGCTAGTATATTGAGGCAAAATTTTGTGGCTAGTGTAGGTCTCTGCGGCTATTTTTACAAAAAAAAAACCATTAGTACATACACGATATATGACATTTAAATCTATTACATTTCTAAGTTTAGACAATTCATGTGAAAAAACTTTGATTGTATAACTGTAAGTGCTCACGAAAAAAGTATTCATACATTAAAACGTAAGAAATGACAAATCAAAAAAATTATTTGAAAACATAAAAGCATATATAACACTTTATTAAAGGGAAAGTTCCCGAAATAGGACTGAAACAGTTTGAAAATTCCGAAATAGGACTGCCATGTTTTTGATTCCCAAAATAGGAGTAATTACTGCCAAGTTTGGAAAATACTGCCATGTTTGAAGTCTGGTACTGCCAAAACATGACAGTAATTAGTCTTATTTTGGGAATAAAAACATGTCAGTCCTATTTTGGAATTTTCAAACCTTTTTAGTCCTATTTCGGGTAATATCCCTTTAATAAATTGTTTGAAGGTAAAGAGTCTAAAAGGTACGCATTGACTTATGCTTTTTAAATAACTTTTGCCTTGTTTTGGAATTGCAATTTTTTTCTATCAAGTAGGTTGTCCGTGGGTCACGAGAAATTTCTTAATATTACAATACTATGTATGAGATTTTTCTAGAATACTACTATTAGTACGTAGTATTGTTAATGAATTCTCATATGATATTTGTATTAATGTAAAAGAAGTTAAAGTTTGTTTATTATCTAAGCAACAAATCGTTTTTAGAAAGTAAGAAGTAAATGAATTGTGTAATTAAAGCCAACAAACATTTATATTTTGGAATCACTTCACATGATCTAAAAATTATTTGACTTGTGTGTTAGGTTTTTAATATCGTTTGATAGTACAAAATTGAGTACAAATTTTCTAATAAGGATAGTGACCTTTGTCATAAACAATGAGTTGTTCTATTGTTTATTTGTTATTGTAGATGTTACTTCATTTTAAATCTCAAATTAAGTATTACATTAAGTAAGACTATACTAATTTGAAAACTAAAAGTCAAGGGGGCAAAAAATTCCTAGTATGATTTTTTTTCTAAAAATATTACATATATAGTAGAAAAATTTGAAAGTCCAAAGGGGCGGTCGCCCCCCCCCCCCCCCAAATCCGTCCCTACACTAGGCAGAACGGCACAAACTAGAGGGGCAAGATTTGTCGAGCACTTCAAAACGATCGGGAGCCTCTACCGAGTGACTTACTTCCTCCCGGTCGTTCGATCCACAATTCAACGGTGAGAGATCTTGGACTCCACTTTTTCGCCAATCTTGAGGCCATGTTGACCACTCTCCCCGTCCGATGCGCAAGGCACCCTCCTAATCGGGTAGAGGATCTCAATCCCTTCAAAACACTCCGATTTGGGGTGTTAAAAAAACCAATTATCCTAACTCTTACTAACACTTCAATTTCTTTAAATCATTTCTCAAAAAACAAGTGTTATTATCAACCCTTCTCAATCCTTCCATTACCAATATTCCTTCCACTCAATCCAAATAGGCCAGTTACACCCGTGAAAATCACAATCTTCTCACGAATCACGCCCCACTGGAACCAATCGAAAGATCGATCGAGGCTATCTCCTCCAATACTAAGCCAGAGTGACAAACCCGATCCCTGCCCCTGCCTAGTTGCGGACGAAGCCCTGCACCGCTCTTCAATCCTGCTCTCTGCGGCTTCTCCAAGCTCCGATCGGCTGAAATCACCTAAGGCGGCGGCAAATTTGTTAGGGTTTGCTGCATCTCGCCATTCTCTTTTTCATCAATTATTATTGTTTCCCACATTCGACTCTGAGTTTTCCTTTGAACATGTGTTCTCATTTTAAAATATGAAAAGTGTAGTTTTAGCCATAGTCACATGGATCACGATACGCTCCGGAACACGGAACGAAAACGGGATCGCGGATTGCTCATATCTAAAATCCGATACGTAGGGGGTAGGCTTCTTCGGTACGCTGTTTCGGTACGCGGTACGTTGTACCATATATTATGGTACGGTGTACCATTAAGGATGTTTTTACTTGAACTGCAATTTGCTGGTCTGGTCTGGTCTGATCTGGTCTGGTCTGAATTGGTCTGGTCTGGTCTGGTAAGGTCTGGTTTCTTTGTATTTTTATAACTATCCAAGTCTGGTCTGGTTTGGTCTGGTCTGAACTGGTCTGGTCTGGTCTGAACTGATCTGGTCTGGTCTGGTCTGGGGCAAATTACAGTCCAAGTAAAAACATCCTAACATATAAAATTTATAAATTATAAAATAATATTTAAACAAGAGTTAAACTACAAGAACTAAATATGAAAAGTTAAGTTTGCAGGTAAATAGTATGTTAAAAGTATTCAATACTAAATAAGGAGTAATACTTAGTCCAAAACTAAAGAAGTAAAGATATGGTCCAACTGTCCAGTCAACTGACCCACAAAAAATGAGAGAAATTATAGTGAAAAACAAAGAGAAATAGAGAACGGCTTTTAACTTTACCAAAAAAAAAGAACAGCTTTTAAGTTTACCAAAAAAGAACGGAATTTAGAGAACGGCTTTTCAGTAACTTTGCAGACCTAGACCTAAAACGGCTCTGCTCCGCGCGCCTTCATGATTGCTTTGCGCGCCCATTTTTGTCAAATCTAGACAAATTTGTCCTTAAATGTTGCTAGGCGCACCACATTATCAAGCATCTCATGTTTTTTAAATGGGCCGTGCTTCTTTGAAATAAAAATAGGCGCACCATCTAACAATTTGAACATTTATTCTCCTCCAATAACTTGATGCCATGTGGCTAATTTTCCTTTTTTTATAAAATGTTTTAACTTTTTCAATTTTGCTCCTATTTTTATAAAAATTATATCAAATTAAATAATTTTTTATGTTCTTTCATTTGACACCAATATCATATATGTAAAAATTTAAAAAAAACATAGTCAATTAAAAAACACAGTCTAGTCTAATCTGATCTAATTCGATTGAATTTATCTGGATCGAAATCCGTTCAATTAAAAACATTCTAAATATCATTCACATTATAAATCTAGTCATATAACATATATGGTTGTAATGCAGAATCAACATGGACATGGTGCCGCTCGAGTTTTAAACGGTGGGGCCCTCCACCTTCGAAATTAGTCAAACAAATAAAAAATGAAAATCTTTTGGTTTACTAAGATTAAAAATGTTACTTATTCTATAATCCAATATAGAATTGCACAAAATTAAAAACAAAACATTTATGTTTTTGAATGAAAACGTATATATACGTGATCATCAAAATATTAATGAATATCGTATACTACAAACATAATGAAACACATAAAAAGAAGAACTAATATACAAATAGTGGGGCAGATGAATACCTCATAAGTCTAAAAATTAAGAGTACTATTTTTTAGATAATTTTTCAGATTCACCATCCATTATATAAGAAGATTGTAAATAGTTTATAAAAGCATTAATAATGAATTTCTAATATTTATATAGTTCTACCTCCCACTATGTTTGGAACAAAGAGGTGTGACACATCTTTTAAGAAAAAGTAGAATTGTGTGATTAGTATTGAATTGATAAAGTGCGGATAAAATAAGAATGAATTGTAATCACTCAAATCTAACCAAATATGGCATGAACAAACTTAATGAGACGGGAGGAAAATGCAAAACTGGACAAAATCACTTAATCAGGGGAGGCGTAGCTTGGTTAATACGTTGTGGTGCGGCAGATTTGACTAAGGACAAAGGAAAAATGCAATAAGGCCCATTAAAATTAAAAATCAATATGAAGCAAGGGAGAGGCTTAGCTTGGTTATTAAGTTGTGGACTTGTGGTGCGGCAGATTTGGCTGGGACATACTTGTCCAGATTTGATAAAAAATAGGTGCCCAAAGTAAAGTCGGAGGCGCGCCTAGCATCACCCATCTAAAATAGCAAACTAAAATCGCGAAGCAGAGTCTGCGACCAGCAACGACGGCGAGAGAGACCAGCTACAGCAACGGCGACCATCGTACCGAAGTCGCGACCCTGACACGTGCGGCGCGCTACTGTACCGCGATCCAGAACGCGCGATCCGGAACGCAGACCGTGGCATGTCTAGCGATTTCTGTAACCATGGTATTAGCGGGGCAATCCTGCATCTAATTCAATGTTTACATTTTTTGTCTTCATTTTTGTTCTAAAGGTTAAAACAAGTAAACACTTGTGTAAATATCCTTCATCTTTCCCTTGGAAAAATGGAGGGGGAAACAGGAAGCTCGGTATCCTTCACTTTCTCCTTTTCCAAATTATTTTTGATAAGAGCTTTCAGAAGTAATACTAAATGCAAAAACAATGGCAAAATTACCATTGCATCACCCCTCGACTCCTGTCAGAAAATCACAATCCTTATTAGTTTTTAAGCTTTGCACACATGACAGTGACTTTTTGAAAAAATATAAACTGATACTCCGTATTTGATAATGAGGTGGGGGATTAGAGTTGAAAAAGTGTAGAAAAGGGGCAAGTGTTTGACCATTCTAAGGAGACCATGTAGACCACTTTAATTTGCATTCATACCAGATGTGAAATGACCCACACTCACCCATGCCTTGATCTGCACATTTGGTAATGTGGGATTGTGGCCACATTGAAGTTTGCCCATGTTGACTCCTCATATTTTTTGGTAAATATCCCTTAATGTGCCCATGATAGCTCCAAATGCTTCTGCACATACACAAGTAAATAATCTGAAAGAAAGTTTCGATTATTACAGTTTTATATATAATACCACAAGTAACAAAATTCCTCGGTCAATGGAAGATTTATACATGGAGCCTCCAACCTATTAAAGTCTTTCTAAGAGTTTCCTTGGTTCACTGTCTTTAAGTTTAGTTTTTGCATTTGGCCAAACATCAAGGCAGAATATAGTTTAATAGATTCAGTGTTCCAGAAATCAAGTTTTGTAGAAACATACTACCTCTGTCCCAAATTGTTGGTCAACTAATGTAAAGTTAAATCCTCCCTATCGATAAATATAATTCAATTTTAATAATTAAAATTTACATATTCAGAAACTGCATTAAAATCTCTATAAAGTTGCAAAATCCAAATTAAATTGTATCCTAATTAAGTTAATAAAATGAAACTGTTTGACCCCAAGGAGTCAAATTTGCAACTCAATTTGGGACAGAGGGATAGATACTTAAATATTATGATTACAAAACATCAGGCATAGGCATGATTCATAAAACTGGCTGCAGTTGAGTAAGGACAAACGCCCACTGGATATATACGAATGATTTGTACAGCTTAAGTCATCCAATCATATCTCAACTAGAATAAACAATTAGTAACATCCAAGCACTTCTCTGTTACCATTTGGCCAGACAATCTCTTTTTATGTTTCAAAGTAGTTGTTGGATGAACTTATCTCTGAAATTGAGGAGTTCGGAAGTAGGTAAATTGTTGCATGAATTTTGGTGAGTGAGTCCTGCACATTATTCTATGTCATTATGTGTCTTTGTTTTATTTTCTAATCTAAGAATTTTGATGATTTAGGTACAGATTTGAGAAGTTGATACACTACAAGCCATTAATGAGTCACGCGGAGATGGGTCGATATAAAAAGATCTTTGCTATACAAGATGCAACTTTTTGAGGGATGGATGACTCCGCATCCTATCCGCATATAGAACCTTCCAGCTTTGATCTAATCGTTATAGGTACCGGTGTATCGGAATCCATCATTGCTGCCGCGGCCTCTGCCGCCGGAAAATCTGTCATCCACCTTGACCCCAATCCATTCTATGGTTCTCATTACGCTTCTCTCCCCCTACATGACTTCACTTCATTCATTCAATCCCATTCCAACTCTTCCTCCACCCCTCATCTTGCTTCACAATACCGCCATGAATCGGATTTCCATCTCGTGCCGCTTTGTACTCGCCAGCTGTACTCCTCCATTGATGTCTCTCTGTACTCGCAGGAGCCTATGAACTACTCCAGCAAGTTCAACATTGATTTGGCCGGACCTAGAGTTTTATTTTGTGCTGATTCTATGGTTGACCTCATTTTAAATACGGGTATCAATCTGTATATGGAGTTCAAGTCGGTGGACGGGAGCTTCATCTATGATGGAAATGGTAACTTGGATTACGTGCCTGATTCACGCAGTGCAATTTTCAAGGACCGCAATTTAAGTTTCACTGAGAAGAATCAGTTGATGAGGTTCTTCAAGATGGTGCAGGGGCATATGAGGGAAGATTACACGGAAATCAATCGGATATCTCAGGATGATCTGGAGAGTCCGTTTTGTGAGTTCCTGAGCAAAATGGGGCTTTCGTCCAAGCTAAAATCGTACGCATCGAATTTTCCTTTTCTCCAGATTTCATTATTTATTACTATAATTAGCTTTTGATTTCCACATTAACATCAGTTTGTGAATTTAAAATTCGTTTACGTATTGACTATTGATTCATTTTCTGCTGCACCACAGCCCACTCGGTTTAATTCAAGAAGCATTAGCTAGATACACTGAAATCACAGAGATATATTTTCAATAATAAAATTTAAATCTAGATAGGAGGCTAAGAGCATCTTTAACGGTGCTTTCTACTCCAAAGAATGCAGTGCCACGTGAACAAAATTGAGGTAGAAGTAAAAAAAAAATTGTCTCCAATGCGGCTGTGCCTAATGAAAGTGAGTCTGAGTTGGCATTCTAAAATTTACATACTGTCAATTTGGATTTCTGATTTCAGAAAGCCTTTCAGAGGCTATGACTCAGCAAATTAGTACGGAGTTATCTTAATTCCATTTTTTTCAATTCTTTTTTTATTTTGTAGAAAATACAAGTAATTAAAAAAAAGAGCACCACCGGAAAACTCACGGTTGCATTGGAGAACGGCTTTTAGTTTAAGTGTCTATTTGCCCAACTCAGTCCCACTTAATCGTTAACGGCCTGTTTAAGTAGTGATGTGTCCACAATTAAAGCTCTCAAATCCACATTTCTATTGGAGATGCTCTAACAAACCTCATTGGGAAGAAGCTCTACCTCAGTCAAACAAGCATATAACATCACTAACACAAGACTGAATTTTTTGATTAACTGTTTAATTTGATACTCAATATTAGCCTATTAGGATGCTTACACGGGGAGGTTCCACTATGTTTTTTTATGTTTACACGTGCTTCTTTTATGGTGCTTCTTTTTTGGTGAATCCATTAATGGACATGAAAATCCTTTTACATTTTGAATCATCATTATATAATTTAAAACTCAATATTAGCCTACTAGGATACCCACGTGGAGAGATTCCATCAATGTTTATGTTTACATGTGCTTTTTTGTGAATCCATTCAGAGCCCGTTTAGTAGCACTGAAATTGGCTGAATCAGCTGATGCCGCTGAAATTTATGAAGTTCTGGATGAAATGGCTAGATTGGTTGATTCATGAAAAAATTATATTTTAAATATATTTTAGTAATAAAATAAAGAAAAAATTATATGAAAAATAGCTAAATTCGTCCTCTACATTAACTTCAGCCAATTCAATCAGAAAAGTAACACCAACCTTACTCATTTTTGTTTATTACAAAATTCAGCGCACAAAATAAAAAATTAAATGTTTGGTTAAAAAGTTGGCAGATGAGGCCGATAAGATGATAAATAGGGTCACCAAACGGGCTCTTATTGGACACGAAAATCATTTTAATTTTTAGTTGTTACTCCCTCCGTCCCAAAAAATTCTTCCCACTTTGACTTGGCACGGAGATTAAGAAAGTGGAATAAATTGGAAATGTGTGGTTGTGGTTGTAAGAAAAAGGTGAAATGAATGTGAACCACACAAATTGTCCAAAAAAGGAAAGTGGGAAGAATTTTTTGGGACATCCCAAAAAGGAAAGTGGGAAGAATTTTATGGGACGGAGGGAGTATTTAGTACAAGCCTATGGTGTCTTCTAACTCTGCACACTGCCTCGTAGACTGATCTGCATTATTGCACATCAGTCATTGAATTCACATCACCTTGGTGTGCTTCTCCTATTGAGTAATAAATTTTTCTTTCACTTGTCCTCCAGTTGAAAGGAAAAAAGAGGCAAAGTGCAGGGAAGTTTTTTTTCCAGCTACATGATAACGGATAACAATTTCTTTCTTCCAATGCAATTGTAACTTTTCTACATTGCTTATCTGAAGAATAATTTTTTCCTGCTTTTTTCCAATGCGATTGCAACGATATTTTGCATACTTTTTAGTCTGCTTTTCCAATGCGATTGCAACAATTTTTTGCATGCTTTTTTAGCCTGATTTTTTATCCCAGCATGATCTAAGTATATATGAAATCTCAAGTCTCAACAGTATTTTATCAATTATTTTGTGACAGCCACAGTTTTTTCCCCCATTTTTTGGCAGATATTCTTTGTAAAGTTCTTGTTATAGTAAATCTGGCTCATTTAATGTTTTTTACTATAGGATTATACTTTATGCTATAACCTTAGCAGCTGATGATCAGGAAAGTGTGAAGGGTTATAAAGTTATCAAGACCAGGGATGGGATAGATCGTTTAGCTCTTTATCACTCTTCAGTGGGCAGGTTATTGAGTGATTTCTCACCCTTGCCTATTGATTATTTCATAAAATGCGTGTTAAAAGTTCAAACAGGTATTTTATTGTTAGTGATATGCATATGCAGTTTTGATGAACTAAATTTGAAAATTAAACATTTCTTGTTGTAGACTTGTAGCAACCTTTATCTTAGTCTGGTTTTCACTTTTTAGGTGATCTGTAATTTATAATGACCAAAAATATGTTGGCACGAATGATCACCACTCTTTTCTATGATACGCAGATAGTAAAGTAATGAGAGTTTCAGATTCAGAAGAATAAACGATACTAAAGATGCTTTTTGTTAAATCGGAGGTTATGAGCATTCTAGTGTATTCTTTTTGTATCATTTGTATGAGCTTGGCTCTTATAGGAATTCAGCGAGTCATTTACTGGCAACATGATAGTTTACCATGCGGGCAGTTTTTTTGGCAGATTGGCATGAAAATAACTATCTTGCTATTTTGTTGGCACCTAGAGAATGATATTTTTGTTGTACAGGTTCTCCAATGCACCTGGTGCTATGATTTATCCAATGTATGGCCAAGGGGAACTGTCACAATCCTTTTGCCGGCGTGCTGCTGTGAAAGGGTGTATAAATGTGAGTGGAGCACAATTCTCTTTTTCCGTAAATTTTGCTAATATGAGCTCTAGCTTTGCATGATACTTGTTCCTAAATGACTATGGTATCTTTTTGTGTAATATGTGTTGTTATTCCTGAGGATATGATTTTGCTATGCATTTTGTTTCTAGGTTCTTCGGATGCCTGTCAACTTTATTCTCAAGGACAAGGTTGGAATGATGTATTTAATAAAATATGAATGTGGATTTCTATACCTGGATATGATCTGCCCTTGTTTTGGGTTCATTGTTTTATGATGTTTTCCAGGGAAGTGGAAATTACAAAGGTGTCAAATTGGCTTCTGGTCAAGAACTATTAAGTCACAATTTAATATTGGCTCCACCATTTGTAATTCCCTTTGATACTGTCGAGTCTCGTACTCAATCTCTGCAAGATGATTCTCTTGGTCTCGATAAAAAAGATGTAGTGAAAGAGAAGCTGGTCAAGGGAATATGCATTGCAAAGTCCTCACTGAAACCAGATGTGGCAAACTGCTTAGTATTCTTTCCTCCTCAATGTATGTCTCACCCAATTGTATAAATAAAAGGAACATTTTCATTTTTATTTTACTTTTTAATGTTATATTATTACGATTTTATGCAGCTTTGATCCCTGAGCAGGTGTCATCAATTCATGTCTTCCAGATAAGCAGCAATGTTGCGGTTTGCCCGAGTGGAATGTGAGTTCAGTTGTTATGCATGCTAATATTAAGTGTCATAATGTAAAGGGAAATGGTATTTTAATTTTTAACACCATCTTTGACATCAGCATCATGCTTTGTTCACTACTCACAGATGACACGAGGACTTGTCTGTGCACGCACAAACATGACAGTACATGTCAGTGTGTTAGAACAAAAAGTTATGTCTATGTGTGCCCGTGCGAGCTTGTGTTAGAAGTTGGTGTATAGGTTGATAGATATACAGATAATCGATACTCAGAACAATATAGAACTCAGTAGGAATTGAATAAGAACAGATCGTAAAGCTTTATTATCAAAGATGAATTATCGAGAAAGGTGTACAGTGCCACAGACAATTGGAGATGTCCAGTCTCCTAGCCACGCCCAGTCCAATTGAATAATTGCCTGCCTTCTTATTTCTCCCTCCTTACTATTTATACTTACTTATGGGTCAGCCCAATATTAACTAATACCTAGCCCAGGACCCTTTAACACAATATCGCAATTATTAGTTATACTACTATTATTATTTGTATTATTATACTAATGGGTTCCTATCATATCCCCCCCTTGAAAAACCACCTTTTCCTCAAGGTGGGTGATAGGAATCGGCCTGGACTTTCATCTTAATCTTCATCCTTGCGCCTCTCCCCTCCCAGTACAAGATTGATTGTTGGACTAAGTTATTCCATACTGGAATCTTCTTCCTTACTTCCTCCAGCAACATCTTCAATAGATTCCTTATCTTCAGAGCATCAGCACCACTCAGATGGCTTTGTTCATGTTGGGATTGAGTTTTACCCCTCTGCCTTATCATCCACTGCTCAACCTTCCCCTTGCTAACAACTTTTGCTTCAGGATATGACTCAAGCTCTTGGATTTCAGTTGCTACACTCCTTGAAGTTGTAGTATCTGATATGAAGTATTCCCTGGGACTGATAATAATAACAGAAACATCAATTAACTGATCAACAACAAAGGCAGAGTCCATTTCAGATTTATTAAAGGAAGCTTTCCAATAGAAATCCTGTAATCCAGACTTGATAGGTGAAAACAATGACATGAATGGTGCAGAGCCTGTTGCTGTTTCAAATATGGATAACATTCTGGCATAAGGAAAGTCTGCAAGATACTCTTTTCCTTTTGGACAGCCTATATCTTGTTTCTTATCAACTGTATTCTTTTTGTCAGTAAATACCATCTGAAACTGATAGGTACAGACTACACCTCCATCTGGAACAGATATACAGACCACTGGCTTTTCCCTACCCTTTTCCTTTTCCATTTGCATCAGACTTCTTTCACAATATACAAGGTAACCATCTCCATTATCTTGTATCATTCGTGCTAAGGTCTTCAATGAAACTTCCATTGAACCTAGTTTGGAATCTCCCTGAACTGAATGCTTGACCCCTAAACTCTGCCAGTTGATAGTTTGTTTCTGAAAGTTTATCTCAACATCACCCAGGTGGTTAGCCATTCCATTCCCAATACAAGATCAGTTCCTCCCAGATTTAAACTGTAGAAATCCTGTTGTGGCAAACTCAGTATCATCTCTTCACACCTTCTGTCATTAGTTATCTTTTCTCCATTGCCAATCTGCACCTTATACCCTGAGATGGTCCTGAAAGGCAGCTCCAGTTCTTCCACCAATTTCTGAGAAATGAAATTATGTGTGGCTCCGCTATCTATCAATACCTCCACCTGTTTTTCTCCCAGCTTCCATTTCAGCACCCCCTTAACTTTAAAGGCCCGCAAGCTAGGTATGCCCTCTCTGCTCATAAAGGATAATTGCATGGATTTAGACTCCAGCACCACTTCTTCTTCAGGATTTTCAGGTTCTTCCCCATCTGTTTCTTCTTCAGCATCTGAGTCTTCAACTAACATCAACTTGTAGTGCCTCAGTTTGCAGGTATGCTCTTTATTCCACTTTTCTCCACACTTGAAACACAGCCCCTTCCTGCTTCTCTCTTGAAATTCTTCTTGGGATAATTGTGGTGCTACCTTCCTGATCCCTGAAGTTTGCATATCTGTGACCTTCTTCCCCATTCTCTCAAACCAGGAATTGAAATTCCTATTATCAGTTGCATCTTTTCCCTGATTAGTGAATCCAGAGCTACCATATCTAGCCTTATAGCCTTCTCCCCAGTTAGGAGATTTGCTAGGTATCTGTCCCTTATCTTTACCCCCCATCTTTTCATCTTCCTGCTTCATCAGATTTGTAGCTTCATTCTTTCTCTCAATCAGCACTGCTACCTCCATAACCTCAGCTAAAGTTCTGGGTTTATATAGTTTCAATTCAGCCTTCAGACTTAGCATGGGCTCAAAGGGATTCTGCAGCAACTCCGGTTGAAACCTGCGTATCACAGCCTCTTTCAAAGTTTCCCAGTTCTTCTCCTCCGTTTGGCGTTCCCACCATTGAAGCCAGTTAAGAGCTCTTTCTTCCATAGCCAATATGGACACCTCCATACGTATCAACCAGTTATAAGCCCCGTTTCCATTAAATAAGGGTAGATCCACCTTACGAGCATACTGAATATGAAAACGATGGTGATCATCACCATGCCTATGATCACGACGATTAGAATGTGCTGAGTTACCTCTCGAATGGGATCTGATGTGTGGTGATCTCGAGCGACGATGATGAGGTGATGGCGATCTTCCCCTGGAAGGATCCCTTCTGCCCTGATACGCTGCCATGGATGCTGCGATACTGTTCTGTATCTGCTCGTTCATCGTGACCGTGATATTCTGGATCTGCTCATTTGTTGCGGCCGATATATTGGCGATGGTAGCTCTCATCTCCTGCTCAAAGGCCTCCATGCGATGTTCCATCTTGGATCTCGTCTTTACCATCCACCACCGATACTCAAAAATTCAACAGACGACACACTTCTATTTCCGATCCCCAGGATCTAACGCTCTGATACTAATGATAGATATACAGATAATCGATACTCAGAACAATATAGAACTCAGTAGGAATTGAATAAGAACAGATCGTAAAGCTTTATTATCAAAGATGAATTATTGGGAAAGGTGTACAGTGCCACAGACAATTGGAGATGTCCAGTCTCCTAGCCACGCCCAGTCCAATTGAATAATTGCCTGCCTTCTTATTTCTCCCTCCTTACTATTTATACTTACTCATGGGTCAGCCCAATATTAACTAATACCTAGCCCAGGACCCTTTACTACAATATCACAATTATTTATTATACTACTATTATTATTAGTATTATTATACTGATGGGTTCCTATCATAAGTCTTCAGTTGTAGACATTCCTCTAATATAAAACGGATGGTTGCATAATGGCGATGGTACATAGAAGAAAGAAGTTAGTCGGACAGAAAATAAGTGTATATGGATAACTTTTTTCTTCAGGTTTGTGACTTACCTTTCAGTTACATGTGAAGATGCTGTGCAAGGGAAGAAACTGCTTGAAGCAGCCATTAATGCATTGTTCTATGTTCCTGTTTCTGGCACTTCTCAAAATGATCATACAGACCATCCAAATTCAATTGCCAAACCAGCAATACTTTGGAGCACCTTGTATGTACAGGAGCTGACAAAGGTAAATGTATCACTGCCATACTTCCATATTCCTTTTGAAGTTTCAGTTGTGACAACCAGTTAGGTCATGTTGTGTACTGCTCTGAGTTCATTTTTCTTGTAGGGTAAATATATCTTTCAAAACTCTCCCACCTTAAAAAATGGTCATGTACTGTGTACTCTTTTTTGTTCTAAAAAATAGCCCTGTTATAAAAGTAAACTTTCACTTCTTAAATTTTAAACATGAAAAACTAATTATCAAGGAATTTTAGTCAATAATTTTAAACAATATCTTTGAGTTATGTCACGTCGTCACCTACGTGTTACCTACGTGTTGTTTAGGACTGTTTAATTAGAGTTTGGAACATATTGTTGATCCAAGACAACACTACATTTTTTTAATCCAATTGCATATCGAATTCTAGAACAATAGAACACTGATTTTTGGCACCCTAGAGCCAATCTCACTGTCAAAACAAAGTTTTTTTGGGACGGCTGGATTATTCGTCACGGGTTCTTCACATTTGTGGCACTGAAATCATGCTCTCGGTTGGATGTCATATGTGTGTGATTCCCCTGGCATTCTCTTATTCTCAAGAATAGCGTGATGCGCGTGTTTGGATTTGAAAAGTCCAGAAGTCGGGAAATTCCAAGTCTTTCTTATGGGAAAATGCCCTAAATGCAAGAAAAAACGTTCTGAAATTCTAAAATAGGATTGCTATTGTTTTCTAACTTTTCTTCTCGAAATAGGAGTCGTGACTGACATGATTTAAAAATACCGCCATAAATGGCAGTAAATACAGTTGGAATTTCCAAATATATTTACTCCTGTGTCTTTTAGGAAGAAAGACATAATAGTCCTATTTTGAAATTCCCAAACACTTTAATTAAATTTCTGGAACTTTCGCTTTTCTTGTTCCCAAGTTTTATTAAATTGGTAGCATACCCCACATACAAAGAGATTTGATTGAAGGAATTGGGTAACAACATTTGGTCATTCCAAATGTGATTTAATGACTTTTATCTAATGTAATCTAATTTGCAGTAATAATGCAATCCAGACGAGGCCAGTGATTCTATCACGCAATATACACTTCTTATGTCAACATAAGTGGGGTTCTTAATCTGTCTGACATGTTTTTTTTTCCAGGAGGATTCATTTGATTCTGTCGCTTCAGTCTCAATGCCGGACGGGAATCTGCATTACAATGAGGTTTTGGCTGCCTCTGTTAAGGTAATAAAGAATGTGCTTTTCCCATTCTGACACAAGAATTTTTTGTCAGTTCAATTGTACTGCTTAATTAAAAAAAATGCCGCTACCAGTAATGAAATGATAAAATTTATATTGTGACAGATATTTGAGAGAATGTACCCTGGTGAAGATTTCTTACCAAAAGCGGCTACATCGTCCGAAGAGGAGGAGCATGTGTGAACGACTACTGCACCACATATGATAGGGATGTTTGAGGGATGCGGTTGTAATATGATTGATGAGTTTTTTAGAGTTCTTTACTATCATGCCAGGTGAAAGTGAAGATTTCTCCCAGAAAATAGGGCAGTTTAAGATTCAAAGCTGAACCAAACCCAACTTTAGATAGTTTGAGTTTGGTTAGTTTAACATCTTCACAAGTTGAACCCTTTTATAGATTAGTTCACTGACATTCACGGGTAATTGTGACTTAACATGTTACTGAGTACATATTGTCAAAAAGAAGCTTCAAATTATGAAAAAATCAAATATATTTTTTGTTTTATAACTTTATTCAAGAACCATGTATCTTTTTATCGAGTATTCATAACATATTGGTATTATAAATTATTGTTTCTGTTTGCTTTGTTCGTTTGTTGTGTGCTTCGTTCACTGGTCACTACTCACTACTCACTAGCATGACATTGGGTGGCTAACTAGCTGAATTTTTTTAGCTCGAGTTTCATTTGCTGTTAAAATAATCAAATTGAGGAGGTTTGGTTTCATAAATTTTATAGCAGTTACGTCTAGTCATGGCCTTGGGTCGGGTCGGATCCGGGTTGGGCCTGGGCCTGGCCGGGCTTTTTATGGTTGGGGGGAAGGCCCGGGACCGGCCCGGGTTTCCTTCGGGTCCGGTTCAGGTCAGGCCGGGCCTTGGCCTGGTTTATATTTTTTTTGCTTTCCTAACTACCCCTGACCCCCAACCCCAAAACACCCAATCCAACCCAGGGGAAACAAAAAAAGCTGAAAAAAAAAAACATTTTTTCCCGAACTGGGCCCGGGCCGGGCCGGGTTGTCATATCTACAGCCCGAGCCTAGGGAGGGACTCGGGCCGGGCGGCCCGGCCCGGAACCGGCCAGGCCCGGTTACTGTTTGAACCGGCTCGGCCCGGGAACCGGTCCGGGGGGCGGTTCGGGTCGGCCCGTCCCGGTTACTGTGCGGTTCGGGCCCGGGCCTTGTGATTGGCGAACCGGCCCGGCCGGTTCGGGCCCGGTTCGGGCCAAATTATTATTATTATTATTATTATTTTTTTTTTGATTTTTTTTAAGTTTTTGGGTTGAGCTTGGTATTTTGGGCCATTTGAGGTGGTTTGGGGTTGTATGGGGTTGAGGGGGAGGGTTGGGGGTTAATTAGGAAAAGCCAAAAAAAAAAAAAAAAATAGGACCGAGGCCCGGTCCGGCCCGGCCCGAACCGGAACCGGGATTACCCGGGCCGGTTCTGGGCCTCCCATTTCTGAATTGAGGCCCGGCCGGGCCCAGGCCCGAACCGGGCCCGAACCGGAACCGGTCCACCCATACCCGAGCCCGCCCCCCGCTACTCCCTACGGTCCGGGTCAAAAACCGGTTTCGGGCCCGAAGCACCGGGTTGGTTCCCGGGTCGGGTGGCCCGAACCGAGTCCAAGACTAGTTACATCATAGTATGCTAGGATTGCTAGTCATTAGCTATATACGTATTATTAAATTGAGAAGGTTTTGTTCCTTAAATTTGATATCTTTATGTTAATAATAGTGATAATCACAACAGTACTATGAAATGAATTAAACATAATCTTTAAGTGTTCAGAGGGAAGGAAAGTGGAAGATTTTGAAGTTTGAAAGTTAGTTCTAGGAGGGGATGAGAGGGGAAGGGGAGGAAACCATTCTACATGTTTGGGAGTTGCAATCTGTACAAAATTATAAGCATGAATCAAGGTAAGGATATTTTTGGTATTAAAAATTTGTTGGTGGTACATCATAGCTTAATAAACGTGTACTTTATGCTTGAGTCTATGTACTCTATCTTTTATTTTGCTCATAAGTAAACGTCTATCTGTCTATCATCTATCTACCGTCCTCGTTAGTAAACGTCTGTCCGTCTCTCAATTCAGTCATCCGCAGGAAGATTTTCGCCAACTCTACTCAATTTGTGGTTATCTTCGACCTTCAATCGCCCCTTTGTTTCACTTAGTAGGGCCGGCCTACGGCCGAACTAGGCACCAATTTGGGTGATCGCCCCTGTTTCTAAATAGTTAAGGAGTAGGTTTTAGATGCTACGTTCTTCACCAGCGTGATCTCTGTGTGGCCAGGAGGTGAGGAAGGCAGTAAAGCGCACGCCACCATGAGTCGTGAATATGATGGCGGATTTTAGATTTCTGTGTACCCACGATCCTTGCCTTGCCTTTCATTTCTTTATCTCTCATTATCATATCAGACCATTTGATTCAATTGCTTGCAGTTGGCTTTGGGTTAGTGCTTAGTTATCACTCCATATATCTCCGAGTATTCAATAGAGGATGTAATTAGCAATACCAATTTTTGATTCATACTACTAGGAGTATTCAATAAAACTATAGGATTATCTGAGTATTCAATAAAACTATAGGATTACTTAAAAAAACATAGTTATTACAAACATAGTTGCTCTAGCCAACATTTGAAATCGTATTTTTTCTACAGGTAATTATGACTTTATTCCTCTTTCCATTTATGCATTCAGCAGAATTCAATTGTGCTCTTTAGCTTTCAAATATAGCGAGTCTTTGGGTCCGATAGAAGATCCGGTGCAGTACTCTTGAGAATAATTTTTTTATGAATCTTTTGTTTGTAGGATGTCAACCATCAGAATCTTAGTATTACCCATTATATTCACTATTGGAATCCATCAAACCATTTTTTTTTAAGAAACCATGTTTATACAAGTAGAAAGCAGTAAATACTGGAGTATAATCACATTCTTTAGTTGAAAAAATAAAAATGCCGAATATTTGTGAATTGACTTTTGTTCTCCCATTTCAATGTATCACAAGTATTTCTCTGTGACCTATATGTTTGCCTACGGATGTTTTGAGTTTATGTTTGACATGCTCCTCAGCTTCTAAGTTGGCTTGTAGTTCTTATTTCTTTTGTTTATCTTCGTTTAAAGGCAACTCTTGGTGATTCTTTCTTAGCAGATTTGGGTGAATTATCTGACAATGAAGCCGATATTCTTGTGAGTCGAGTGCCATATTTATTTAGCCTACAATTTGAACTGCAATGATTATTTGCATTTCTTGTTTCCCTCTTCCCATTGTCTCATTTTTCTGTGCTGATGAAAGTGGATATGAAGAGTTCTATTTACATTTTTATAAGAGCTTAATGATGTTGGGTATAATTAATTCTTGTTTATTAGGCCTTGTTTGGTTCAAAGGAGGGGAGGAAAGGGAAGAGTCAAGGAGGGAGGGAAAGGGAAGGGGAAAGAATGATTTTGATAAAAATTTGTGTTTGGTTGGAGGAAATAGGAGGAAAGGTTTAATGAAAATATTTTTCCAATTTACGTTTATTTGATAGCTTACTTAAGAAAATAGATACATCTCTGACTATTGTGAATATTACTCCTAGGGTCACAAGTCATAATAATTTTTTTTAAATTTTTTTTATTATTTTTTTATTTTTTATTTTTTTTAAAATTTTTATTTTTTTTACCTTTTCTATATTATAACGTTTTGTCCATTAACATATGAGATGGATAGTTAGTGGTTCTCAACACGTTTCCTCCGAAATACCCCGATTTGGACTGTTAAGAATGGGAGGAAGAAGTGGAGGATTTTGGAAACTTTCCACTTTCTTCCCCTCCCCCCCTATTTCATTCAACCAAACACACACAAATCACTCACTTCCCTCCCCTCTGATCCCCTCCGAAACCCTCCAACCAAACAGGGCCTTAGTGTGCATACATAGTGATGTTGGGTCACTATGGGGTGATAAGTAATTCTCTTTCTGATTTTCATTAATTTTTCCTTACAAAAGGGTGACACAAATGGGGAAGCTGAGCACATGAAGGAAGATATTGATAATGAGCTAGCCGATATAGAAACACTTAAGTGTCTCTAAATTGTGATGATCTGGATAGCGTCTCTAAATTGCAGGTAGAGGACGCAACATTATATCAACATTATGCGGGTTAGAAGAAGTTCTCGAACATCAATTTTGATCCCTAAGTTTCTCACAACAATATTTTAAATTTTTGGTAAGCACTAGGATATTATGTTGACATTTTTTATATGTGATTCCCCTTTTCTTTTGTAATAACATTCCCAAGAACCTATATTTTGTGAAATAAGATTCCCTTTAATATGTTTTACGGTTTTACCCTTCTCTATCCATAAGACCATAATGTCACATGTTACTCTAAAACATTAATAGGGTTATCCTGGTCACATTTTTTTATGTTTGCAGAAAGTAGAAGAAGGGTTAGGAAAACTCAGATAAAGAGACAATGGTTCTAGAAGATGATCCGGAGTACCAGCTTGTTGTTGATTGTACTGCATTATCAGATGATATTGAGAATGAAATTATAATAATCCATAATTTCATGCATGATAAGTATCGTTTGAAATTCCTAGAGTTGGAGTCTCTGGTTCACCACCCGATTGATTATGCCCGGGTGGTTAAGAAACTTGGGAATGAGATGGACCTCACCCTTGTTGATCTGGAAGGGTTGTTGATCTTGCTTTCTCTCTGTTCAAAAAACCTTAGTCCAAAGGTTATATAATTAAATTTGTTGAAACATAACTATCAAACTTGCAAATACATATGTGTTGGTCCATATATTATCTTCATTAGAAAGCGGCTTAACCACACCGTCTTTAGGCTGCCATGCCTGTTTGCGAGGTTGTACTCTCTGATAATGACCTTTCATGGTAGCATACATGTTTAACAAAGCTCTTTGCGGTTGGATGACTAAAGATTGTTTAAGGTGGGATTCATCGGTTAATTTTAAAGCCATTTATGAGCATCAATAGGGTTATTTTTGTCACAATACTTAGGAATAGTAGGTGCATAAGTCTTGAGTTTTGGTGGTTACATTCGGGAAAACCCTATTTTTATCGCTCGGCAAACGTCCATGATTTTTAGTCATCATCTGGTAAACCACTAATTATATGAGGTTTGAGATGTTTGTAGCATTTCAAACTTTGTTCTTTGTGTGTGGTGTTTAACTTTTATAGGATCCTATAAAGATCGTTGTATTCCATATATATAATATTGGGCATTTACTCGATCGCGCAACGCGCGTCTAAATAACTAGTATTGAATAAAGAGGGTCGGAGGGGTTGATGAATTATAATTAAAATCATTTTAAAGATATGAGAATTTAAATAGTTGAATTTATATTCATTTTTTTAATTAAGTTAAAGTTACTGTATCATTTAATTATTTATCTTTCAAAATCCTCCAATTTGAGAAAATAAAAATTGAACATTTGA